TTCGGACATAGCTGTCACAAGATAATCAAGTCATAAAATTAATGAACATCCTTTCTGATTTGCAATCATTTCATTTGAGGTAAAATAAAATAAATTTAATACTTTTAATCACTGATTAAAAAAATGGTACCAGAAAGCACAGGATGCGCTATATAGATTGCATTAGAATTCCCTGATGAATTCATCTGAATAATTGAGAAGAAAATATTATAAGATACAGCAAAACATCTACAATTCGAATAAAGATGAAACAGTAATTCAACACAAAGTAAACATCCTTCCGATTTGAGGGATGAAGATATATATACCATGATTTTACTGTTGAAATCTACAGAAGTTTCCCTAAAGATATGAGCATCAACCACTGTATCTATCTCATATTCCTCTACAAAAAAATAGAAGAAATAAAAAAAATCGAACTCATGCGAACACTAGGCGAAAAAGGGTCTTTAGCACCGGTTCAAACCCCCCTTTGCGCATCGGTTTTGAACCGTTCCAGATTTGAGGGATGCCAAATCTGTATAGATTTCGCACTGGTTCAAAACCGGTGGCAATTCAATGATTTAGCACCGGTTAACCGGTGCGAAAAGGTGATGGCGTGCTTTTTTTTTTTTTTGTTTTCAATACAATAGGCACCGGTTTGAAGCCTGAACCGGTGCCTTTAACTGTATATTTTTTTCGGCAATAAAGAATAATATGAATACTAATAATAATAATAATATTGATGAGAACCTGTACATCCTGCATTAATTGGACCATTTTTATATTATAATAACAATAATAATAATTATTATTATAATATTATAATAATAATTATTATTATAATATTATAAATAATAATAATAATAATAATAATAATAATAATAATTTCTAAATTGAAATAATAACAATACATAGATATTAATTAATTATCCCAAATGCAATACTAATTACAAACAATACTAAATAATAAAAAAGTGTCATAATTACAAACAATACTAATCAATAATGTAGTTAACAAGTTCAAATAGAAATGATATTTACAAATTAAATGTGATGAAGGACGCCAACATGTCTCGAACTTCATTAAGTTCTTTGCTCGTTAACGGACCTCCCTTTTGAACCTTGCAAAACTTGGAATGAACAAAAAGTATGTTAGAATTAATTACTTAGGTTATGCATGTAAAAATACATTTACAAGTTTAGTTAGGCAAAAATTTATTACTTAGGCCTATTTGACTACTAGGATGCCTATTTCCTACATTTCTTATCAAATTAACTCATTTTTTCTCATAACATGTCATTATTACTTAGTTATAGGCGGCTAAGGCTTGAAATTACATGAATTGAGCATTTCAAGTGTTTTAGGACACATTTTGCTCCAAAATGGCCCAAGTAAGGCCTATTTGACTACTAGGATGCCTATTTCCTACATTTCTTATCAAATGAACTCATTGTTACTCATAACATGTTATTATTACTTAGTTGTAGGCGGCTAAGGCTTGAAATTACATGAATTGAGCATTTCAAGTGTTTTAGGACACATTTTGCTCCAAAATGGCCCAAGTAAGGCCTATTTGACTACTAGGATGCCTATTTCCTACATTTTTGGTCAAATGAACTCATAGTTACTCATAACATGTCATTATTACTTAGTTATAGGCGGCTAAGGCTTGAAATTACATGAATTGAGCATTTCAAGTGTTTTAGGACGCATTTTGCTCCAAAATGGCCCAAGTAAGGCCTATTTGACTACTATGATGCCTATTTCCTACATTTCTTGTCAAATCACATGTTAAGAGCAAATAAACTAAGTCAATGGCATACCTCATCAAGCTGTAGTGTGTCTGTACAACGACTCACTATGTCAAACATGAATCTCATCACGTATAGGCCACAATCAACTCCGTTATCTTGTTGTGCACACTAGCATAGGAACAAAGTACATAAATCAAACATGCATAGCAAATTAGTAACATTTTACGCATTGTTTATTACGAAAATCACAATATCATGTGGCATTACCATCGGTGATTTCCATGTGGGACCTTGAGGAGCTCGACAAATTATCTTCTTCATGACACTATAGAAAAGTAAGTTCAAATTTGATTAGTATGCCTAATAAATGAGTTAGGTAATGATAATCAACACTAGGTAGCTGTATTTACTTTTGCAGTATGTACTTCACGAGGAGCTTTTTTGGATGAGACAATCGAGCTGAATCAAAAAGGAATATTGTGTTACTGGAAACACAAATCACCAGATGTGACTTCCAATCTTCAACACATATCTCACTTTCACTTCCATGCAACATTCAATCAAGATCTTCCAGCTCCAAGCTTTTAAAAAAGGTTTCACGTAGATTTGCTTCAGAAAGAATGTCAGCAAAACCTTGAGCAAAATGGGATACTTGTTCAGAAATAGATGATACAAAGTGATGCTGAACAATAAGGTCAACATATTCCTTACTGTTCTTGCTGTTCACAGAAATGTCTTTTCCTCCAGGACAGAGTTCTACAACATTCCTTTTCCCCAGCTCTTTAATATCAATACTAAATGTCAGCCCTAAAGCCTAAACCATCAGAATCCACAAAATCAACATCCATCTCTAATATTTGTTTGCAGCTACTATAGATGCAAGGATCTGCATCCCGTATATCTTCGATGGAAACTTGTCTTCCTGCCAGTTGCAAGAAAAAGACACGATCCAGAACAACACCAACTTGAATTTTATGCTTCAGAGCCAAAGCAATTACCCTCCCTGAAAATAGGAAGTATCGAAGATGTAGAGGATGTACCTTCGATGCTGCACAATAGATAAAAAGAAATGTTAAGAATAAATATCAGATTTATATTATGGCTTACCCCAAAAAAGAGGTACTAGAAAAGATTTGAAAAACATAAGAAAACAATTTTTTCCCCACCTTAAGCAAGGAAAGTATAGTTTGCATAAACAGTAAGGAGTAAGACAATAAACAGGCTTAACACATCAAAGCAAAGAAACCAAGCTCAATGCACTAATTTATCAAACATTGAGCAAGCACTCTATATGTGCTGGAAAATGATACCTTTAAGTAGGGATACATAACAGAGTAGTACTGACTTAATATTTTGATATTAGGGATATGCATGCTATGATGAAAAACCTTTAAGTTTACATATATTGTGTTAAGATTATCTCTAAGATGCTAACAATATGGAGGTGAGCTACTTGAGTAAAAAAAATGATTCACACTAATGACTCGTGCAAAAGGAAGTTCCCTCTCCCAGTCTCCTGCCTCATTATCTATATTGAGTACTTTCATTCCTCTAGCTTAGTCCTCAACACCCACCATTTTTTCAATGCTTTCCTCAATAGTTACTTTTGAGGAGGCTGCAAAGACCAACTCTGTTTTCCAGACAAAACTTCTACAATACTTACCAGTATAATACCCAATTTTAGATAAGTTTTCCATTGTTTGGTTGCATGAAAAAATATATTGAAAAGGTTATTCTTTCATTTAAAAAAAATAAGAGAGAAAAAAAAAAAAAAAAAAAAAAAGAAAACTAAAACCAAAAGCCACCCCCCTCCATATGACATCAATGTCAACATCCAACTCCTTAACTCCATTAATTGATCAACATCAGAATTCTGCAAGAACCCACCATCTCCATCATATCCACCAACAGATATGCTCTAAACTAAATCAAAAGAGTTGCACAAACAGCACACATCGGATTTTGTTTTGCTAGAAAAATCCTCCGGAGGCAGCTGATGTAATCCTCAAATTTAACTCAGTTATTAGGAGAATATGAGAGAGGGTGAGCGAGCATTGGTCAAGGAATGAAATTTTGGATCTTCCAAAATAAGGGACAATGGTTTTAACAGGATGGAAATACTTTTAAATTCTATATTTCCTATTTATGCAAACTATCCAGGGTAACATTTTATATCCAACAAAACAGAGCCTTACTTAGCTACTTAGCACACAAGGATACTTATTGATGAAAGGACATGGTGAAACACAACTATGTCATTCGAACACGTATTTGAACCCCTATTACCCCACATCTTCACAATTCAGACCAAATGAAAGAAATTTCAATGTGTCAAATAGTAGAAAATACATATAAAGTTGGGTGTTTTCAAGCATAGACAATCAATCATCTGTGAGGCGTATGAAAAAGGATATATTAACACAAGAAACAGGGACTCTCTCAGTCAGACTTCACTCAGACAGATGCAACACTCCACCACAAAGATATACAATGACTGACAACATTTATACACTGATGTAGCATGAACTTAGTGTGCACTCAATCAATGTGACATAAATTTGCTAGAGTTTTATGACAAGTTTCCTTGTGCTAACTCAACTAATGAAAACACAGACACTCTTTATGGAGACAATGTCAGGCACCAATGCTATCAAATTCAATTCAATTCATGGTGGTCATTGTTACTAGTGAAAACGGGAGTGAAAGCATATGAGCTAAGCAGAATTTTTTTATACCAAATTGCACAAGAGACTACAAACACTTGCCTTAGACTAGGGAAGAACCTTCGACGGTCCAAAGGGCAAGATGCAAAAAGAGCTCTTTCTGGATCAAAAATTTGCTTGGCATACTAAGCAAAACCACTCCCTTAAAACCCCAGGACCTGTAGCTTCTTCATTTTTGAATTCCATAAAGAGACCAGCCTGCAGTGTAGACGGGATTGCAGTAGATATATACTCAAATGATTCAGCCAGCAAATTGGACCTGTCAATCAACATCTCGAGCAATTCATCATAATCTTCTCTCACCTCCGGGAACAATAACGATACTAAATGCCTCCTTGGTTGAAAATCCAGGTCATCCTTATGCTTAAGAAGCCAGCTATGGTCATCAACACGCCTGGCATACCTAACAATAAGGCCACACAGTGCTGTCTTACTTTGTCTCAGTGTGGTCCATAAATGGCCTTTTGATTCTGCCTCCCTAAGTGGGTAGTGCAAAATCCCACGGCAAGCATAGTTTTATCTTCCTTTTGCAAGGCTTGAATGAATGCGGCTGATAAGGGAGAATTGAATAAAGCTCGTCAACAAAATCAAGCCGCTTTGGCTCACAATCCACCTAAGCCTTTAGAGCAATCGGCCACCACTACTCCTGCTAATGGCCAAAACAAAAGAGTGAGGAAAAAATTAGATTTTTCCACATCTCCTAAGGCTCGTCCAAGAGAACCTAAAAGAAAGGTTGCTCCTAAACCCGCGCAACAAGTAATAAAAATTAAAGAGCTATCCCCAAATCCTCGAAAAAAGACTCCTTCAAACTCCAAAAAGAAGGGAAAAAAGGTAAAAAGGGCTCCTATTCCCAAATTAAAGAATAATGTGTGGGTCAAGAAGATGGGAAAAGGCGAAAGTTCTAAGTTTGCTGAAAATACTGCAATGGATACTACTCCTCCTTCAACTATCACGATCGAGGATATAGTAAAACCTTAGGGTGTTACACAATATAAGTAGTACTTTTTTTTTTTTGAATAAAGTGTAATCACCACTAGAAGTTTTTATTATTTTTCTTTACTACTTTCTAAGTTCTATGATGTACTTTTGAATGCTTTTGGAACAAAGAGAGCTCTTTTATTTAATTTGTTATTTTATTTGACGGGATCAAAGATTGCCTACGTATTCATATTACGAAATCAAGTCTCGCGTAGTTCTTGTGCAAATTTATTTATATATATATATATATATATATATATATATATTTTTTTTATTTTTCTTTAATCCTACTTGTAGGAATTAAATGAAAAATTAATCAAACCTTTTTTAATAATTAAAATCAAAGTTAAATTTTTTTTTCCCGAATATATATAAGAATTGAATACCCCTTTGTTTTATCGTTAGTAAAAATCGTAATCAATCTTCTTCAAGCGTAAAACTTTAAGTTCGCAATTTGTCATCAGGTGGTGCACGCAACCGCAAGAGTTGCACGTGCTTGCTGCGCGCAACTAATTTAATTGCGTGCAACAGCCTAGCGCAACCTTGTGAATTGCGCGTGGCACCTGTGCTGCGAGTGTTATTTTTTTTGACCAACTTTTGAAACGAGTGAATTTTTTTTTTTGATATCTTTTCTACCCCACCCCCCCAAGTGTAAGGAATTTTTCGTGGAGATCGAAAAAAAATCCGAACACTTGAATGGCTTGTTTCGATTGACACATTTATTTTGGTTTACCCCCCAAGTGTTATGAATTTTACCGTGGAGTTTGGTAAAATTTAAAACACTTAAACGAGAAATTTTTATTATTAATTTTTTTTGGTTTACCCCCAAGTGTTATGAATTTTATCGTGGAGTTCGGTAAAATTTATAAACTTAGAATCTTTTATTTGAATGCTATAAAATTTGTTTTAGAATATTTGTATGAACGAGTTTATCCGAAATTTATATGTAATATTTTGTAAGGCGATCAGTGTTTATTAGTTAACGGATTTCGTCGCCACCAACATCCATTAATCAAACTGTCTTTCCTGATAGAATTTCAATTATGCGGTACGATCCTATCCAATTGGGCTTGAATTTCCCTCTGGGATAAGTTGGAGGACCTCTAACGTCTTTTAGTACAAAGTCACCTTCTTTAATATTACGGGGCCGTACCCGTTTGTTAAAATGCCGCGCAATGCGTTGTTGGTAGACTTGTACATGATGCAAACCTTTTAACCGTTGTTCATCGAGGAATAAAAGCTCTTCATACCTAGCTCGCACCCATTCAGCTTCCGGAAGCTTACTTTCGAGTACGATGCGTAGGGATGGTATTTCCAGTTCAATTGGTTGAACTGCGTCCATGCCGAAAACTAAGAAGTATGGGGTTCCCCTATTGATGTTTGTAAGGACGTTCTATAACCCCAAAGAGCAAAGTGTAGTTTATTCGGCCAGTCTTTATAATGTTCTTCCATTTTCTTAATGATGACTGTTATGTTCTTCTTTGCCGAATCTACTGCTCCATTCATTTGAGGTTGATATGGGAAAGAATGGTGATGTTTTACTTTGTAACGAGCCAAGAGGGATTCAACTTCTGCTTTGAATTGAGATCCCTGGTCACTAATTAGTTCGTATGGAACTCCATATCTACAAAATATGTATCGTTCGAGAAACTTTGCGACATGTTTAGAAGTGATATTAACGTAAGAGGCGGCCTCGATCCACTTAGTGAAGTAGCCGATGGCTACTAATATGTACTCGTCTCCTCCCGATCCTGTTAGAGAAATTTTACCAATAATGTCAACTCCCCAAGTTGAGAATGGCTAAGGGGAAGTGAGATTATATAGTTCGAATGGTGGAAGGTGTTGTAAGTTAGCAAACATTTGGCACTCTGGACATTTCTTGACATATTGGATGCAATCATGTTCCATTGTGGACCAAAAGTACCCTAATCGTGAGATTATTTTGGTGGGTATTTTTCCATTCATGTGAGGCCACAAACACCTTTGTGAGTATCCTCCATAAGGTGTGTGGTCTTAGATTGGTCTATACATAATAAGCTTTGACCATTCAGCCCTTTTTTACACAATCGACCATTAACCATTCCATAATGAGCTGCGAGCGTTCTCAAGGCGCGCTAGTCTTTAGATGAAGCATTTTCAGGATATGTGCCATGAGTAATATATTGGAGGATATGATCATACCAGGGGCTTTCCCCTTTGATGGCATTTAATTCCTCTATTGCGTTGCTATAAGCTGGTTCATCTCTTCTTTCAACGCATAATGGCATCATATTTAAATGATTAGGAATGTTGATCATTGAGGCTAATTTTGCTAGCGCGTCGGCAAATTGATTTTCATCCCTTGGGAGATATTTAAAATCGATATAATCAAATCGCTCGATGATTACTCTAGGTGTGCTTTGTATAATATCATTGTGGAGTTTTTGATTTTTGATTTTTTGAGTATATGATTTATTATTAAACTGGAATCTCCATATACCTCTAATTTTTGCACACCTATGCTAGCTGCTACTTCTAATCCAACAATGCAAGCTTCACATTCCGCGGCATTATTAGTAGCCTTAAAGTCTAATTTAGCAGAGATTGGAGTATGTGCTCCCTCTGGACTTATGAGTAACACTCTTACGCCACACCCTTTTTGGTTGGATGCGCCATCGAAGTATATTACCCATTTGTCTTGTATCATGAGAATTTCTTCATCCGGAAAATGAGAGCTTTCTTCACGACTTGTTTGAATGGGATGTTGGGCCAGAAAATCGGATATTACCTTTCCTTTTATTGTTTTTTCTAGAATATATTTGAGGTCTAATTCGGCCAACATCACCAACCTCTTGGATATTCTTCCTTTTATGGGTGGTTGTTCAAACAAATACTTTATGGGATAGAGTTGATAAATCACATGAGTGGTGTGGGGATGCATATAATGACGTAATTTCTTAGTTGCCCACACTAATGCTAAACACGTTTTTTCTAAAGTGCTATATCTTATTTCATATTGAATAAACTTTTTACTTATATAGTATATTGCACGTTCTATTTTATCTACCTCTTGTGCGAGCTGGCTCCTATGGCCGTGTTCGTGACAGTGATATAAAGTCTAAGAGGTAGTTTGGGTAGTGGTGGTACTAAAACTGGAGGACTATTGAGATAGTTTTTTACTTTCTCAAAGGCCTCTTGGCATTGGTCGTCCCATTCATGTTTTTCTTCTTTTTTCAATTTTTTGAATATTGGCTCACAAGTCATTGTCAACTTACTAATGAATCGACTAATGTACTGTAATTTGCCAAAAAACCCCCTAATTTTTTTTTTCTGTTGTGGAGGAGGCATGTCAATAATTGCCTTTGTTTTCGAGGGATCGATCTCAATGCCACGTGTGCTTACTACGTATCCGAGTAACTTGCCAGAAGTTACTCTGAAAGCGCATTTTTGTGGGTTCAATCTCATCTTGTCATCTTTTATTCAAGTAAAGAATTTGCGTAAAGCTTTTACATGACCCATTCTATCTTTGGATTTTACGATCATATAATCCACATATACCTCTATTTCTTTGTGCATCATATCATGCAAGAGAGTCGTAGTCATTCTTTGGTACGTAGCTCCTGCATTTTTAAGACCAAATGGCATGACTGTGTAGCAATAAGTACCCCATTGGGTAATAAAGCATGTCTTTTCTTCATCTTCTTTTGCCATTAGAATTTGGTTGCAACCTGCGTATCCATCCATGAAGGATAACATCGCATGTTCAGCCGTATTATTCACCAATATATCAATATGTGGTAGAGGGAAATCGTCTTTGGGACTAGCTTTGTTGAGGTCCCTAAAGTCGACACACATGCGAACTCTTCCATCCTTTTTAGGGACTGGGACTATGTTCCCTGCCCATTCTGTTTAATTACATACGCGAATGAAACCTGCGTCCAACTGTTTTTGTACTTCTTCGTTTATTTTTAAAGCAACGTCAGGTTTCATTCATCGAAGATTTTGTTTTACTGGTTTAGACATAGGGTTCAAGGAAATCGTATGTTCCGCAATTTCCCTATCTATTCCAGGCATGTCCTTGTATGACCAAGCAAACACGTCTTTGAATTATTTAAGTATTGATATGAGATTCGATCGCTCTTCCGGATTTAAGGTTAAGCCAATTTTGACTTCTTTTTTATTTTCATTTGTTCCTATATTGATCGTTTTAGTTTCTTCGATCACAGGATTCTTTTGTTCTCGTTCATTCATTAATTCAATCAATTTATTAATGTCATCATCCTCGTTAGATTGATTATTGTAGCATTCAAAAGATTCAAGAGAAGGCATATACTCGGAAATAGAGCTCATATTATTGAAGTCAAAAGAAAGTACATCAAGAGAGGAATCCTTTTTGGGATCCTCGTCCTTAGAACTAGAAAGTAAAAACTTAGTAATGGGCACAAGGCCTAAATTCTTAGCTTCCTTAAAATCTAAATTAGACTCGTCGTCGGATTCTTCAAACATTTGTCCTTCGCCTCTGGTGATTTCCAGCTTGTCACCCTTGTGGTTAGTCCACTTGAAGGTCTTTCTCCATCCATGCTCAAAAGTATTATTGAGAGGGGTAATTAATGAGGTTGGGTCGAAAGCTTCATCTTGGATGGCATTTTGATTGGTTATGGTAGCAACATGGTTTTGCTCTAGTCCAAATAGCAAGTTAAAGGCTTACCTATCATAGCACCCTGGAGTTGGGTGTTTTGATTGAGTGATGTTTAAGTCATCATTCAAGAAGTAGCAATCGTGAAAAATCTCGAATCCAGGCTTCTTGATACCTTCAAGAATTAGTGGTTCTGGAACGTCGTAGCATGGATAATTCTCCCCCTCCCTAATGAATTTCCCATTAAGGGTTTGATTGTAAGATGGAAGTAAGGAAATTTCTCTTTCTTATTGTTGCTCCTTCGTGCCCTTACTTTGGCATCGTGAGCTTTGAGTTCTTCCTTGGTTGGTTTATATCCTAATCCAAAGGAGAAGCTTTTTTTTGG